TCTTATCTATCACCATTACACCCTTATTCTTCCACCAGGGCAACATTTCATATCTTCCAATTGCTTCCTAGTCTTAGACTCCTCTGAGTTCATTCAGATTGTACCGAGCGTTCTATTACTTACGAAAACCATCAGCTCCCTTGTTTTGATGGGTTTAATCCCGATGACTTGCATATTCTCGTCACCTTCTCACTCACCTTTTAATATCATTACTCCTATCTACCTAAAATCTTGTCTCTCTACGATACTTTACCTTGCGACCTACACCTATCTATTTATACTACTCGCAACCTTCCTTTAACTTGCTAGCACCATAGACTTCCTTTCGTGCCTTCTCAGTTGTCTTTAAACATAAGCAATTACTTTTCCTGGTTGTTCTGCCACTTGTTGCATATATTATCTTATTGGCCACTGGAATTTCCTGTAACTCATATGATCTCAAATATCAACTTTTGATTTTTTTTTCTTCTTCTCGTTCATTAGCCACGATATGTGCCACTTTCTTATGAAGTGCATACAATGTTGTAGTGAAACTGTTGTTACAAGACCATTTCTTCTCTTATCTTACTATGCTTAAGTTGAAGCCTTCTTCCTTATTTCCTTAGCTAGTCTTTCTTTGTAGTACTTTGGGGAGACCCTTTGGCTCCTATAAGGATGCGAGCTTATTATGAATTTTTGATGTTCTTACTCGCCTATAATTATCCTTAGTTACTTACCTCCGCGTCCTTGTGCTCGTAGAGTTGCTTCTGAACTTAAATTTTGACCATCTCCCCAGTGGCACTCTCTATTATTTCTGTAACACTTATACGGTACCTTTAACTACTCCAACTCCTATCTGAATATTTCTAAGGATCATAATGTCATATCTACGAGACTGAATTCCCAATGTTGGGGTTCACTACGTTTATCTTGCATGATCTGTTGATTTATCTATATCCTCTTGTCTAGCCATAACTAGACTCTTCCTGAATCAACTACTAACTACTCGTTGGTTCATTCTCATATCTATACTCCGCGCAATCTCTCTTGGGTTATTTCCTTTGTCTTAACTTATCTCTCGCACTAGCTACTTATGTATCAAATGTTCACTCACACTTATTCATCTATAACATCCTGGGAGGGAACCCTTACTGCCTCTCCCTAACGTCGTGGTTGCACAATGTTCTGGAGTCGTAACATATCTGCATGATCTGAATAAATGCAATTTCATTCTTTTCGCATTTTTACCGCGTTCTTCCTTTACTATTCCATAGTTACCTGAACCACATAAATCCGACTTAATACCATATCACACCATCTTCCGCCTCTCTTCATCTTTGGCGTCTTTTCACATCTTCACTGACTCTTACTCCCCTTGTGGTAACCCTTCTGTACCAAGTGACACCTAGTGTAACTGGCACACTTAGTCCCTTAAGCTTAACTCTGTTCATAGTGCTTGCTTTAGGGAGCGTCTTCCTGAATGAACTTTAAAGGTTATTCTTTTGTTGTCCATTCTATTATTGCCGAAATGCGATCTCTAAAATTCTCACGATGCCGACTATTAAAAAAATCTTTCGGTCCCTAATTCATGTTCAGTTTTCTTTTTCACTAGCCCATACTGATTTCTATTACTCCGGGAGTCTAACTTTTCCTTTTAGTAATCACGTTGGAGTCACCAACTCATTTCTCGAAATAGGGATATGACTTTATGGCTTATACTCTTTTATTGCCTCAAGGCCTGTAATCTCTTGTCTGTTCCTTCACTTGACTTTATACTCTGTAATCTCGTCATATTTTGATTTACCATTTTCACTCATTTATCACATCTTACTCATAATGCTTTATTTACTCTCTTCTTTTTCTCCTGCTAATATTTCTGTCTATCACTTTATTCTGAAATTTTCAACAATACATTATTTCACTTTTAGCTCCGATTGCTCCATCCACTAGCTCTTCGGGTTGACTAACATTCTTTCCTGACTAGGGAGCCATACTAAGGTAAATATTTATCCGTTCTAGGATTTCACTACTTATCTTATGAAATTTTTGAACATTCTAGTATTCCTATTTGACTGTACTATTCTAGAATGCACCATCTGGGTGTTTCACAAGAAGATCTATTACCATGTTTGCACTATCCTTCGCAAATGTTAGCCAATGATAATAGTCCATTCACCATTTTGGGTTACTCGAACCCCAGCTGGATCCTGATATGCCATTCTTCTCTAAAACTATATATGTTAGCTCTCATATGGCATAACTGAGATGGATGTGGACAATTGTATATATCTCTGCTACTGTTGAAAGTAAATCAAAATGCTTATATTTCTCTGCCTGAATTGTAAAAACTGATAATTTTCACTAACTCGGTACCGCGTACCCTTCTTCATCTTGCTTCTTGTACTTGTTGAAACTTGTATCTACCTTCTGATTCTCTAGTTGCTTTAAACCATATGGGTGGATAGATATTCATGCCTTAGGACTCCTTATCAAGAAGCTTACACGTCTTAGTACACACATGATCTGCTGAAGACTTCATATTTACTCATCATAAGCATGATGCAAAATCGAGTTCCTCTGACTCAAGTCTCAACTCTTCCACAGCCACAGTCAATCTCTTACTAGCTGTCTTTCTAGATGTAAGGTATTGTTATAGTACAAATAAAATAGAATTTAGGAGTTGGAATCCTTACAACTGAGCTCTACCACACGATCTAGAGTAAGAAGAAAGAGTAACAGTCCTAAATGCCCTGTAACCTCCTGCTTATAAGTCTGGGGTAAACACACCCATAAACAAGACTTTACTAGACATGGCTTGTAGAATCCCTAGGGCAAAACTGCTCTGATACCACTTTTGTCACGACCCAAACCGATGGGCCGCGACGGGCACCCGGGATATTAATCTTCTTTGAAACCCTAGAAGAGAGCTTAAGGATGTGTTTACGGGTGTTCTTTGGTCGTGTTATATGGAAAAATGAAGATAAAGACGACCTAAGACCTATATATATCATATCAACTTTTGAAAAGTCAAAGAGGTTCTAGCTTGGCACCCTAGCATTGGCCCATCTTCCGACGCTTATATCTTTTTATCCGGATGTTGTATGAACAACCGGTTAACAGCATTGGAAACTACAATCCAAGACCTTTAATTTGGTATATAATATGTCCCAAAAAGACTTCAGATAACACACAAAATATATTGCTCAAAAAGCTTTAGTGGCATACCTACTTGTCACCTATGCAGTCTGCGCAGTCTCGCGAAACTGCAAATATCTCTCTACTCGATGTCGTATCGATGAACGGTTTAATGCGTTAGAGATTAGACTTGTAGATCTTCAATTTGATATGTGGATCATCTCGTAATTCCAAGTATATTGAGAGAAAAGCTCGCTACATTTGACCTAGTTTTCAGCACATTTATGAATGTAACTTGTGATGACCTTCGCCAACTTTTGTTCCACAACTCGCTTGACTCCAAAATGTAACGCACGACTATCATAAGCCTAAAATAACTCATAACATAACCTCCTTATCACATTAAGAACCCTTGTATCGCCCCAAAAATACATGTTATAACATTCCCATCTTGTCGACATTCAGCGAAACTTATTTTCTTCAATTTGTTTAGCTTCTAAGCCTTTCAACCCTCTTGGTACCAATGTTTTAAAAGGCGGGGGCGTGAGGCGAGGCGTTTTACCTCTGACGAGGCGAGGCGTAAGCCCTGAGACATAGGGCGTAAGTCCCACGGATCTTTAAATTTTACTAATTTTATAAATTTTAAAATAGTTTAAAATAAAAAAATAATTATAAAAATTATATTAAAATCACAAAATTAACAAATAATCTATTTAAAATATTTATAAAGTATAATTCAACTATGAATAATATGAAAAGTATGACATATATCATAATATGCAAATTAGCTGCAACGTCATTACAACTCAAACATCAAAAGTAATATATTCGATACGAAATCTTATATGTATCTTTTAAGGAGTAATGAATCTTCAAAGAATTTCGATATTATAATTTGATATTTTACTTAAATACTCCTTTTATTTAATATGCTTTCTATTTGAAAGAGAATTAATATAAAAACATAATTNGTTTCAACAAGTTAATAAATTGACACATAATTCACCATACCATTGATAAATAATTATTTGTAAATAATTACTAACTAATACTGAGCTATGAAATTAATAAGTATTGTATCTCAATAAACGTAGAAAAAATAATATTTAAGAAAAATAATTAATAAAAAATTATGGACTATTATATAGTAACGACATAACAAAAGTTATTAATTAAATACTTTTTAAATGAAAGATCTATTTAGAATTAACTATCATAACAGTCTTAATGGATAACGTACAATAATTTTTATTCTAATTATGATATAAAATACTCTCAACTTAATGATTTATGATTAAGAAAAAAGTAATTTTGAATAGTCAACAATTTATTAAGAAAAATTGAGGATTTATAAGGTTAGTTACATACAATTGCATAAAGTTCTATTAGGCGAGCCCAGTATCCTGGGCGTTGGGCGTGTCTGGGGCGTAAGCCCCGATGGCCGAGGCGTAAGTCTCACGGAACTAAGCCCCACACATAAGCCCAGGGGCGTTTTACGAGTGCTCCGCCCCGGGGCGAGTCCCAATTCTGCCTTTTAAAATAGAGCTTGGTACTTGTTATCCATGATCTTAAATATTTATAACCTCCACGGTAGCATGATTAACTTAGATTATGTACTTTCAAAGACAATCTCATTTCTGAGCTTACATCAATTGACTTACGACGTACTCTCACTTACGATTACAAAAACATGGGGTGTAACAATAAACTCTATCAATCCGATAGAGAAACACCGAAGAGCAATAATTTAGTGCAGGTCTAGAGCTATTCTTTAAATACCATCAATTTTAGCGAGATTCGACTAAGACCGGCCCCTTATGGGGTCATTCCAGTCAATCACCCTACTTTCAGGGTAACTGAATCACCCTACTTTCAGGGTAACGCAGTAAAATCTAATGTTCCAAATTGGTTGTATGTAATGCCTTATTTCCTGTACAGAAGTTATATGTCGCCTTTTAGTCATCACATTAATAGGTAGTCTCCAGCTCCCTTCATAAAGTTATACATTCTATGTCACTGCAACTGAAACTTCTCCACTCCAACTACATGAAGCAACAACATTAGGCATGACAGGATGCAAGACGACATCGATACAAGCTCCATCATATACCTTGATCCTTCTGATGAGCTCACAAGATTTCGAGTCGTAAACATAAATGTATCCGTCAGAGGAACCAGTTATTACTTTCTCACCATCCAAGCTGAAATTGCATTTTATAGGGAATCCAGAAACACTATGGCCTTCATATCTCCTGTACTTGTCAAGTCCAAAAGGAGGCTTGGTAGAGAAAATTGCTATGTAGTTTCCATTTGACTGTGCTATGAATTTTGGATCAGAAGGGTGGCATCTTATTGAGGGCAAGGTATACGCTTCACTGTAAACCTGAAATATGTTCACAAGATTAGACTTAAAAAAAGAACAATACAGATTAGCATAATTTGGCATATACGCTATGACACATCCTTGAGATTGAAACTCTGGACGATTGAAGTGTGTGACATGACAAAAGACATACTTCAGGATATTTGCAGATAACTTTTATATCCACCACCAATCTATTTGGTAGTTAATCCTATCCATCCCTTACTTTCTTAATGGCCATGGATGTGCACAATTTCCACTAAACTTAGACAAACATACAAATGAAGAATGCAAAGATTGTGTATTAGAGCTGAGAAAAAAAGAAGGGAAGGAGCAAAAAAGAAGAATGAGACCTTTGTCAGAAAGAATGAAAAGATTAGAAGCTCCGACAGGAGCACGGGGAAAAGGACTACGATGGTCAACTGGGTAATAGTGAATTTAGCTACAGTTAGAGAATTGGAAAGGTCATGTACAACTTCTGCACTGACTCAATACATAGCAGATCATAGGAACCTGATGAATTTTTTTCTTCTTTTTTCCCTAATAGGCATGCATCTGCATAAACATACATGTACACCTACAAACATTTTTTTATTGTATGAACATTTCTAACAAGCATTAAGATGATGAAAATCACTCATGCAATGCGAAGGGAAATATTATCTTGACATTTTCACCTAATGTAAATCATGAAAACAAATCAAACGGCATTAATGAAGAACTTTACCTGGTTAGATAGAGGGATTTCTCGTGAGATATCCCAAACAATGATTGAATTTTCACTAATATTGCTTTTGGATACATCGCTTGATGAAATTATTCGCTTTGCGTCAACTGTAAATTCAGCATCAAGGATAGGACCAAGATTTCGCACATATTGATGGACCACCTTCCCAGCTCTTATATCCCATATTTTAAGATGGCCTTTCGAACCTCCAGAGAGGAAGAGATTATAATTATCTGGATGAAATTTTACCACTCCAACAACTTGGTCCTCACTGAAAACCTGAGTTTCTATTCCTTTTTCAACATCAATCAACCTTGATGTGCTGTCATATCCACAAGAGAGCACAAATAAACCATGTTGTGACCACTTCACATCTTTGACAGCCGCATGGTGACAATTAAGTACACGTGCTTTCTTCTGATCTCTGCTCCAGACATTCCATATGCAGACAGTTTGATCCATTCCGGCAGATGCTAGAAGGTGAGCTGCATGGTGAATAGCGTACATGAACATCATGAATACAAGTATGCTACTGAATCATCAAAGTATCACACATCCGAAAATAAACAGTAAACTTAATACAAGTTCACAACTAAATGTTCTCATTAAGTAGTTTAGCGAGTTATTGACTCACATCCTTGTAAATAAAGTGAAAATTATTGAGCTTCTTCAAAGAATTCTTGTTTTTGAATACCTAAAGCAAAAGTTTTTCTTCATGTTTTATTAACAGAGTAAAATTAACCCATTTTTTTCTAAGATGGCCCAAAACTTCTAACATTTTCACTTTAGCCATTCGATTTTTCCAAAAAAATTTAATTTTTCTTTTTTACGAAGTCTTGACTCATTTTGAAGTTGAGTAATTAGTTCTTTTCCTTATTGTTTTGGTTAAGGACAAGAAAGCAAGTATCTATCTGATCCTTCTTTCAGTAAAGCATCTCCTTATTTGGAAAGAGTGTCCATCTTTATTGATATCACAAGTACATATACAAAGAACACCGAGACCCAAGCAAATATTTGGAGCAATCAATGTAAACTAATGGTCCAGTCTCATTCTAATAAATGCATAAAGTGATGCAGTACATTTCACCGTGAGGTCAAATTTGTAGGGATTTGAAAACCACAAGGGAGTTCCAAATCCACTTCAACATCAGAGGCAGGAATTTGGATAAATATGAATATGGAAAAGGGAACTAATATAGTGATATGAAACAAAAATCAATAGCAGTGATTCCACTTACCATGACTTGTAGACCAGTGTACAGCATTAACTGATCTTGTGTGTCCATCAAGAACTACAGAGAGTCCTTCCGGCGTACGGCTCAAGTGTCCATGGACTTTAGTTTGATTTCTTAAAGCTGACAAAATATTATGTGGCAGAACTGAATCCAAAATGTTCCCTAAAACTGACGAAAAAAGACTTTACTCCATTAGGTTGCAGATAAAACAAAATTTGAATGCAGAATTCAGAGAACTGATAACTATTGCAAAAAAATATCATACATTAATAAGAAAAGTTGCCAAGAAGTTCCTAGTTGCTTTCATGTTAGTAAATCTTCATATGCCTTCTTTGACACTTTGCACGACAACTTTAGCGACATCATCTCAAAACAAAGATCTTCCTCACAAAGACATCAATTGCAATAAAAAAGTTGATGACTTGCTTAAAAAACTTCCTTCACTAGGGTGAATGTTTGCCAAACGTCAATAGCTGGGTCCAGTAAATTTTTATACTGAGCATTTTTTACACTAAAGCAGCTGTTTAGATGATGTAATATGAATCGAGTTGCAAGAGAATAGAAAGCAAAAGTTTGCTAAACATATGTGATGAGTGACAAGAAGATAAGCCCATAAAGTTCACTTGCTATTTCCAACCCTACCCGTATTTGAGTAGGTAAAGGCCACTAAAGGGATTGCTCCGGAGTTTATTGAAGGATGACCGAATTCACAAGAGAAATTAGTCATTTCTTCCAATGGTGCTAAATTATCAGCTACCATTCCACTGCTTACAAACTAGGTTTCGACAAATCCACCACTGGTTATAACTTATCTGGTTATGGTTTCCTTTTGGTTTCCGTGGACAGTAGCCTCCTAACTTGGGTAGTTACTCTTATTCTTAACAAACAGCTCACCAAGGCTGGCTAGCAGCTAAGCGAATGGAGTAGTCATCTCAAGTAGATTACTGATAGTATGCATAAGTTGTAATCTTATACACATTACACAAGAAACTTCGGGTTACAGGTTTCCCACAATTTTATCTGGTAACATAATAGTGAAGCATAAAGCAATCAGCAGTATAAAGGTGGCTGGTTATTTCGGGTTTCAGTTGTAATAAGCAATGATAAGTCAAGAGCAGGCACAGAGTTCCTAGAAGAGCCAGCCTTCATTTCTTAATGCATCACTCTGCCAAAAAACCATCAAAGATAATCCTCTCTTTTTCTCCTCCCTCTTATATTGTGCTGCTCTCCTCCACCAGGATTTGTTCAGTTCCCTAGTTCCTTGGGTTAAGAAAAGAGTTCTTAATACGCTTCTCATCAGTAATAAACAACAACTCGTCCTTGCACACAAAAGTAAAAGCGCTTTAATTTTTTTTTTATTTTTTTGACAGCAATTACACATTTTCAATTCATCAACTTCTATTTTGCTATGATAGTGGTATTACATCAATTTGCAAGCACTTCGACGAATCCACCTGTAATCCTGTTTACCAAGGTTAGAGCAGATGAGCTCACACTTCGTGTTTCACCGGTAAACTGAACCTGAATCGCTAGGGTGTCACTCCTACTAAACCATCCCTTTCGCGACAAATTCATCAATTTCTTCGAAACGAGAAGGATCACGGTGAACCTTTTCGGCGTAAACAATACTCTATTTCAGTATTTCTTCAATATTCACGAATACTAGTTTGACTATGACTCTATGAGTAATTACAAAATATTGAACTTCAGGTGAAATACTAAAATATTGGTTTGAACTAGTACTTCAAGTAAAATACTATTGATTTTCACTCGCAAATCTTCAACTTTAGCAAAGTTCTTTGGTGGACACGTAATTCTATGTCCAAATTTTAACATCCACAAACCTGGTGAAGTATTAGGGTAAGGCGGTGTGGTGGGCCCGTCTGGAACTTTTGCAGCTGAACCCATAGCAGCTCGTTCTCGCTTAGAAATGTACCTTCCTGGAAGCGAAGCTTGCGCCGTGAGATTCGTGTTTGGATTGAACCTGTAGAGGGGCAAAGGGTTGTTAACTCGGTTAAAATTCTCGAACTTGGCCCGTTTCGGTGGTGGCAATATGGGTCTAGAAAGTTCCTTTCCACCATTGTCGTCTTCTTCATCAGATGTTCCGCCATAGACTTTACACAACAGGTCCATTAGTTATTCTGGAGCTCACAATTAATTAATCAAACTATCAAATCAATCGAACTCGAACCCTAATTGGTGCAAGTCGAGTTAAAACTTCAATAAGAATGAAATCGAGCTAAAATTAGGGCAAAACTAAGATAATTCTTCAATTGATATTACTAAAGTTTGATTACAGGGTAGTATATAATAGCGCGAAATGATCTCGTTGCATCCTAATCAATAGGGATAGAATAGGGTAAATAACCAACAAATTAGGGGATCTAATTGTAATAGTAGAAACTACTAATATTATTCTCGATGGACTGCAGTGTTAAGGAAAAATTACTTTTGGGGCCTGGGTTCCTGCTTTTAGTTATTACAGCAGCTAACAGCTATGTACCACCTTTCCAGCTGAATGTACAACCCAAGCATGTTTCGTCTTTAAGAAAAATAATCTAGGGAAAATTACATTGTATATCACTGCCAAATATAATAATCGATAAAATATATATTATATATATATATATATATATATATATATATATATAAAAAAAAAACGTATACCTTTTTTATACTTAACCAATATATATTTTTTGTATATTTGGCTAGCGGATGTAATTATTTTTGGCCGACCAACTAAATGGACAACTTGCCCTCTAATCTATCTCTGGACTTGCATCACAATCAGTTGGGTCTGCTATATGAATCTTCTATAGGCATTTTGCTTGGTTCGGTGGAGCCCGCCGTCATTGCATGACGCATAATCATGGTTGACACACTTTAGCTTAACTGATCATGTCGTAAATCAAATCAAACCTCAACTATGACACGCCACAATAACTTAAACTTTATTTTACTGCTTTCTCATTACTTTTTGTTTATTATTACTTCGATTTTGTTTGTTTATTATTGCATTTATTCCACTCCACATTATCAATGTCCTTTCCTCTTAATTGATGGATTTTTAGCATCCACAATTGCGATGAAAGAGAAGGATCATTGTCCATTGACATCAGAGTAAAAGTAGTCTAACTATAGTGAAATAAAAATACATATACTTAAGTATTTGAACGAGACATACGAGTCTACTAAAGCTTAATGGTTAATATAACCGATTCCAACTAGTTTGTGTTGAAGCACACTGGATCATTTGATCGAAGTTGCCCAATATAACCTTCTATGTTACATGCCATACTAGAAAGAACAGAGTGTCACATAACTATGGTGTAGATAAGAGAACGACAAAATTACACGAAAGGGGTCTGCCATCAAATGACATTACAAAAAATGGATCTGAACAATGAAATAATAGAAAAAATATAAGTGCTTCTGCAACTTTGTACTGCATCTATCTGTTGTATAGCTATCTATCAAGTATCAACTGGAATTGGGGCTACAATGTATTGGCCTACTTGTAAATCCATTCATTTGCACGGCCGCCAGATTCGTCCATATCTATGAAAATGCTCACTGCCTATGGTTTATAACAAGATCGAACGCCTAGTTAGATAAACATTCACTTTGGACTGGCTGAATAATTCATACAAGCGACTCAATATCTGTCATCGTAAGTCTTAAAATCATCTTTGAAAGGCGACAACAACAACAAACTCAGTATATTCCGACAAGCGGGGTCTAGGGAGGGTTGTTTATGCAGGCCTTACCCCTACCTAGTGAAGGTAGAGAGGTTGTTTCCAATAAACCCTTGGCTCAGAAAATGTGAGAAGAAGAAGAATAACAGGGAAAAAAGAAAGAGAGAAGAAAAAGAGGAAGAAACAAATAAGTAGTACCAAATAGTGACAACATGGAAATACGATAACATCTTTGAAATGCAAATTCCGATATATCTTCCTTAAGGGACATGTGTCATAAACGCCACAACTGCTAAAATCCGCGAGTTTTCTTATAAACATAGGAGAGAGGCTTATGCAAAGCCTTATTAGGACTAGGAAGCAATGATATCACTACTCTTTTATTGTTGGGATCCTACATATGGAATGCATGGATAACAGGGTCATCGCATGGCCAATGGGGTGATTCCCCCCCCC